TTCAGCCACTTAAGGGGAAAGGAAGTGGGGACATGTGGACGCTCTCTCCCTTGTATTACAAGTTACTTAAATGATTTGAGCTGTTATTATTTATTTAGTTTGTCTTTTATCTGTTTCTTTTACTTTTACCACTTCCTACAGGACATATGGCAGCCCCAAGCAACGTGATGTACGTAGAGTGTGTGACATCATATTTTCCATGTAAGACCCACCCCTTCAAAACTAACCAGAACCATATAGAGGAATACAATTTCAATTAAGAAAAGATAGAATTCCACGTTTTGTTTCGAAACTACCAATTTCTCACCTTTAACGCAAGGGTAATGATGGCTTTCTCAGCTCTGCCACAACTTCAGCCTTGTGATTCAGCTGTTGGTTGAAATTTCATAATGTGATGAAAAAAAGAAAATACTTTATCAAACCTATATTAAGCCATTAGATATAAGTTACCCATCCTTCACTAAGGTGAATCTGTTAGAAAGGGATGATATTATTGTTCTATAAAACTGGCCTGTAATGTTTTATTCAAACTGCACATAGTAAGCTAATTCTCTGTTGGAAGCTCAAACATCCCAACAGCTAAACAGATAAATACGATGCAGAGTTGTAGAGAACCATAGTTGAAGTATTGTGCATAGTTTTGCAAAAGGTGTCTTAAGGTATCATCAGTGTCCTGTGTTGAAGGAACTTAAACTAGAGGAAATCAAAATAACAGTTCCTGCGGTCTTTTCTGCTTGGATTTAAGTTTTACTCTTCGCACCACTCTGCCTGGAAATGATCATAACATGATTTTCTTCCAGTTGGCATGTTTTGGTATCAAACCCAATGCCAGAGACACGGTCACATTTGTAAGAAAATGCTGCACCTACAATAACCCCAATATTATTATATCGATTATTACCCCTGCAAAATCTGCAGTGCAAAACTTTGTGTTAAACTTTCCATACTCAGCATGTTTTCAGATTGTCTTTTACCACATTCATTTGATGCATGAGACTGACAGCCTGGTTCGCTTACTGCATTTTTTTATGATCAATCTGCAGCTACACTGTACTAAAAGCTTAATACTGATAGA